TAGCTCAACAAACTCGATAGCTCGGAATAGAAGGTCATGGTCAGCGATGAAGAGCTCAGCGATGTGAAGGAGTCCGCACTCTGGCCCAACGTTGTCGTAGCCGCCGTGGTAGAGGTGGTGGCGTCATAACTGTCCTGGGTGGCGGTGATGTGTTGGGCTCCATGAGACCGAAAAAAATTAATGTGTGTTTAAAAACCTAATGCTCTTGATACCGGCCATGTGAGAATGATGAAAAAGCTTTCTAGACCGGTAACTCTAAGTATCATATATATAATGAATAAGGTATCCAAAATACAATTGGAAACCTATTATATACTACGTATAAAATACACTATTAATATTGTGTGTGAATAATGAGAAATTAATAGTTTAATACCAGTTTTATAAAATAATGACAAGCATATAACCTGAATAAAGGTAGTTGATAAAATTATGACTTTTATACTTTAATTTAGTGACTACTAGTTTTATTATTACAAAATGATTTAAATTTTAACATAATTTGTAGCTAAGAAACTTCTGTGATTGCGTGTTACAATTTTCAAGAACAGAAAAATTATTATGTAATTACGTTCTGTTATTGTCTACACTTCATATATTACTCCGTTAGAGGACGTAACGTTACATATATACGTACCAGTATAAATATTTACATGAAGGAATTCACTAAATAGGAGTAAAAAAGTTTTGAAATTCCAAAATAGAAATATCATGTTTTTTATTCCTTGAATAAGAGTAAATTTTTGTCAAGTTTGTGTAAAAGTTTAAACAATTTTTTTCAAACTTCTATATTTACATTTGTGTAAAAGTTTAACAGTTCGTTTTAAGGTTACCAGTTACCACACATTTGACTTGATTTAATAATGACATCCATGATAATTGACTTGTTTTGTAATATCACTCCAGAATTCAATCTTGTTCCCTCTAATAGATCAAAAAGGCACTTTTAGTTAAAACTATCAACTACCAGCAACTAGCTTAGTTAAAAAGTATAGACTAAAGTATGAGCATTTGATGTCGACAGGTAAACAATTTAGATCAATTTTCAACTTTTGTATGCCTAAATAGCCCGGACGCAGACAATAATGGGACATGAACACGTTATGTACACCATTTTGCTCAACCTTTTTGGCCTAATGGAACTCGAATTCAACTATAAGTATTCTTCCGTTTTTCACACCGCATTTTCCATATGTCATTGTTATTACAATCCTTCAATTTTATTTTAGCTTATTAATAATACGAAAATTACCCTACATGATTATTGAAATGTACTGTCATTAATTATAATAAATATTTTTATGTTGAATGAATAGTACTGCAACTATTTGACAATCATGCCTAAAAGATGACGATAAATATTGTCATCTTACTTCTATTTCGAAAAGAAAAACATAAATGTCCTATTTTGAAATTCAAAATTCTATTTAGTTCTATTTTGTGAAATCTCCATTAAGGTGCGTTTTCTTCCCGTCCCATTTGAAATAAGAAGAAATATAAAAAACACACAAATGTTGAAGTAAAGATCAACTTATGGGGAAAATACTTCCGATACATATATGGTCCCGGACGTGGTTAGAAGTTAGAACAAATAGAAAATGCGTGTAAACAGTAATGTAAATTTGAGAAATAATGTAATAAAAAAACAACGTGCGAACTGTTTTAAATATATAACAACGTCAAACGTAGTACATGATTACAAATTAATATATTGATATATTGATGGAAATTGATGAATTTGATGAAATTTGTGAAATTATAACTTCAACAACTGAATCAGGTGAATATGCCGAATTATAAAAGTGATTTTTAAAGCATATTTTAGTAATAAAATAAATAAAACATTATGTGGCAAATAGTAAAAATAGTCTCTTCATCAATTTCAATCAATTGACTTAGAAAAGTAATTTTAATTTGCTTAATTTGAATATTACACAAGTGCAGTATATAAGCGCAAAAAAATTGGCCAATGAGGTTAGTAAGCGACAACAGGGTTGTCAAGTAGGCTCCTAATCTAATTTGACTTTATTTAATCTTAGAAAAAAAATCAATTCTAAGTGAATAATTTTTCAAAGAGTTTTCTATATCATAATAATAAGTGTGTCACTGGGTCACATAATGACATAACACAAATTGTGGATCCTAATTTAAAATATTCGAATACGAATTAGTTTTGGTATTCGAATAACTTTCGAATACGAATGTAAATATACTCAATTTGTATATTATTCGAATGTATTCGAAGTACCCCTGTTTTTTTTTGAAATCTTTATTCTAAAAGATCAAAACGACGTCATTTTGGCCTTTTTAAAACCCCTACAAAGCCCTAACTAGGGTTGTAAACGAATCGAATAATTTTGATTCGATTTGCAATTCAGATTTGAAATAGTGGATTCGAATTCGAAATAATCTAATTTGAATTAGTTTTGGAATTCGAATAACTTTCGAATACGAGACGAATATACATATATTCCATTTGTATATTATTTGATTATATTCGGAATATATGATTACATTATAGTATATTTCATCTGTATATACCCGCTCTCTACTTCTCTAGTTAATTAAGTTTGCACATTCATTTTAGTAAACATATGTCTGAAAATGAAAAAATAAAAATAAAAAAGTAAGATACACCATAATTTGAATTGGTGAAAAAATTGGCATTTAAAATATTCGAATTTAAACATTAAAATAAAATCCGAATTTATTCGAATATGTGTAACGAATAGAATTTATGATTCGAATACTAAACGAATACGAATACGCATATTCGTCAAATTATACAAATACGAATGATATTATTCAATATTCAATCGTCGATCCGATTCAATTACAACCGTAGCCCTAAAGCAGACCACTACAGATTGATCGACGTCTTTATTTTTTTTAATTTTATATTAATTAGAGTTACATTAGTTTAGGGACCCATGACTCAGTTTTTTTGGGTCTGCCACTAACTACATATTTTTTTCTACGGTATGACTTCATTGATAACGATATACTAAAATTACATGCATCGATCAATTTAGGAAAAAATACATATATGGAATTGGATAAAAATTAACGTGCATCACATTAATTAGTAAAATAACATATATAATCGCACAAAAACATGTTTTATAGCAATATTGATGGAGAAAATTGCTCTCCCTAAAACTAAATCATACTCCCTCCGTCCCGCAAAGAACTTCACGATTTGACTTACACACGTATTAAAGAAATAAACTTATCAGGGGGTAAATTATACTGTTTTGACACTGTTTCGACACTGTCTGGCACTGTTTAACAATGTTTTGCACTGTTTGACATTGTTTTGATGTAGATAACTTCCCATTTAGGGAAATGGGAACTTCTTTTTGGGACTGCTAAAAAAGGAAAGCAGGAAGTTCTTTGTGGGACGGAGGGAGTAGCAAATTTATAAAAATAGGACTTGGGTATGTTTCTTTCATATGTGAGACTTATGTAGTTCCAGTTTAGAAAACTTTATTATTACTTTCCAGTTTTGCCCTTCACTTTAACACCTCACATTTCCCCAATTTCCTCAAATCTCCTCCTACTTCCAACGAAGCAGAGAAATTAAAACATGGGACATATGAGCCGGCAATTCAGTCGCGGCCTTGCAGCTACGAAATTCAGTCGCCGGCAAAACAAAGACCACCGCGAACTCACCTCGTCGCGCGACGTCGCTGAACTGGATGGAGGAGCCGATGCATCGCGGATCTTCTTCTTCTTCTTATTTTCGTTTCTTCTTCCATTCTTCTGCCGATCTTCTTTTCTTCCACCTTTTTTTCCCGCCGATTTGCGTGCAGCGGCGGCGCACCAGGCCCTTCTTATTCTCCCCTCCTCCTTGCGGGTTGGAGCGTTAGACCGATTGCTTTCCAGAATTTATTGTCTACTTATTGTCTACTTATTGTCTATTTATTATTTATTTAATGTCTGTTATTTCCTAAAAATAAGGGTATTGTGATCAATGCAGGTGTAGTTGAGTCTTACACGAATCTGCTGTCTTAGTTTTGGAAAATCCGTAAGTTTTACTCCTATTTGTTGAAATCTCCCAATATTGATGGGAATTTTCTTTTTTAGTTTGAGTTTGTTATTTGAAAAATAGCTTCAGCGAAAGCATGCATGAAGATTCCTTGTAAATTATTTTCAAAAAGTATTATTATTTGTACAGGCTCGATGTGCAGTATCCTGACTCCCCTTAATTATTACTCCCTCCGTTCCGAAAAATACTTCTCACTTTCCTTTTTGGGCTGTTCCCAAAAATACTTCCCACTTTCCCATTTTGTACAATTTGTGTGGCTCACATTCATTTTATCTTTTTCTTACACAACCACAACCATACATTTCTACTTTATTCCACTTTCTTAATAAGCGTGCCAAGTCAAACCGGGAAGAATTTTTAGGAACGGAGGGAGTATGTTTTTACTTGAACCGGGTGTCTTGGTTGATGTGAATTTTATAACCATGAAACTGTTGTAAGGAAAACAACGGTCGAAGTAAAAACTTATCTAAGTAGCGAGCGTTGATATTAGACGTTTGACAATCTAAGAAGGAAAGTTCGCATGCATTTAATAGTTGTGCCCGGCCACGATGTATTAAAACGAAGCAAGTTCCTTAAAATTTAAACGTTGAGTTCTATGGACATTGTACACGACCACATGGCACCCATATCCATGTTTGATATGTTGGTGACATTACAAAATGGATTCGACCAAATATTGAGAAAAAAAACTATGAACAGATTCGTGTCGATTCCCCATATGAATCATATGTCATTTTCAGGCCGGTCAATCTAGAAAAACCCCACAAAACCTTAACCCTGATAATTAACTGATAAGTCAAACCACGACTTGCCCACGGTTTAACTTTCATGAGTTCATCCTTCATTAATTCTTCTCCTGACCTGTGCATATATACACACATACATATGTATAAATTCTTACACACGGACACCACATTGATCCACACACATTATCCATCTCATATAAATCTCTTAGCTCTCATAGTCTATGGCTGACCCTAACTCACAGTTCAGCATCGCTTCACACTTTAATCAAACACCATTTTACCTACCTCACCAACTGCATGCATCACATCTTAGTCCAACACCATTCCTAAGGAGGCTGCCCGAGTACCGAGAACCACCGCAAGCAAAAACAACGCCGGAAATGGGGCCGTCGTCGAGCACCGGAGGAAGCGGGAAGCACTCGAAGTACCGTGGAGTGAGAAGCCGGAGTGGGAAATGGGTATCGGAGATTCGTGAGCCGCGAAAGACCACTCGGATTTGGTTGGGGACTTACCCGACCCCCGAGATGGCAGCAGCGGCATACGATGCCGCTGCGCTTGCCTTGAGGAGCAGTGACGCGGTGCTCAACTTTCCGGCATTCGCCGGGAGCTATCCCGTCCCTGCGTCCTCTGACGGGGCGGAAATAAGACGAGCCGCCGCACTCGCTGCCAGCATGATGAAACCGGAAGGGAGCGAATGTGGGGCGGCTCGACGACTAGAAAGAAGTTGTGAGCAGACATATAACGCGGAGTACATTGATGAAGAAGAGTTGTTCGACATGCACAATTTGTTGGTGGACATGGCCGGGGGAATGATGGTGAGCCCGCCGAGGATGACGTCGTCTCCGCCGCCAGAAGATATGTCGGTTATTACCGGAGCCGAGAGCCTTTGGAACTATTGATATATACTCCGTACGTATATGTACTATACTCATGAGACAGTGCAATAAATAATGATTATAAGATTAGGAAAATAAGACATGTTATGTGGACGGTCGGAATTAGAAAGGTATATCAAACCTCGGCTTAGGGTAGATAGAGCTGCTTGGTAACAGCATTTTAAGAAATTGCTCTAAATAGAAGTAAATGAGGTTTTTGAAATTTCAAAATAGGACTATTATGTTTTTCTTTTCGAAATATGAGTTTTTATTGTCATGTATGAAAAATACTGACATGATTGAAAATACTGTCATTAATTATAATAAATATTGTCATGTTAAATGCATTGTACTATAATTATTTGACAGTCACACCTACATGATGGCTGTAAATATACTGTCATGTTAGTCCTAATTCGGAAATAAAAACATGGTAGTCACATTTTGGAATTCCAAATTCCATTTACTCATATTTTGGGAAATCTCCCTAAAAGTTACTACTCCATATAGGAAGTATTACTCAATTAAAACTGCACCCTTTGTATCTTCTCTAATACTCCGTATTAGCTTCATAGCTTCCATCAAGAATTAAAATGATTTGTAACTTGGACGTTATATATTATATATACACACAAACATGATGGAATTTGCTAGCCTAGCTAGTATTATATTTGAGAAAAATCTTTAAATAAGAGTAAAATATAAATAAAATGCACAAATAATAATATATATAGTACATTCCCATAATTGTTTTCTTTCTAATTAAAATACGACTCATGCACTCTTAATTTACAAAGTTTTGTTATTTTCATATGATCAAATAAATTCAATATAAGACTAAAACATACACAAATAAGATCAAGTATGGTTTATTCCCCAACTACGATTTATTGAGTCTTATTAAAAGAATAAGTTGATTCAAACTTCTTAAAATAGGAGTGTATGCGTTCTAAATATACTCTGTAGGATTTATTTAGTCCTATATCAAAATAAAAATAAAATTGATTCACTTCCCAAAATATATATTTATGAATATTATCCTTGTTATTTTAGTCTTAATTAATGATTTTTAATAAAACATACTACGTGTATAGCTAGTGATATTTGTACACATTGTTTATGTTTTACTCAAATTTAGAGCTAGCAATTTTTTTAAATTAACAATAAAGCCTTTTAAACAGAATTAATATTTACATTTCTAAAGGTCAACTCAACACATTGTTATGTCGTAAAATAGTTTCCACTTACTTCTACATGATGAATTTTTGACTATTTTTTCATTTTTAGAACTAAATAGCTCAAGTTTTACAATCAAAACATAATTAGTGTGTTGGTTCATGTAGAGTTCCCTTGAACGTTACCTTGTAGATCGACTTGCAGGCTTCGAATTTTCAGAAAGTTAAATGGTACGTGATCATAACGTAGCCGTACGGGTTTGCTGTACACTCATAACATCCAATTCCAAATATATTAGGCTCCCATTTTTAAAGCAAAGAGAATCTCGTTGGAGTGTATGCATAACCAGTTAGTTAGCATGTTTTTACTTAGAACTTTTTTCAGACTCGGATAAAACTAGACGAGACTTCAATAGATCAAATCAGACCATATTTAAACAGTACAGACCAGACTTGCATAGTTATAAGATACACATAGATGAGACATTTACTAAACCACACAAGACTAGTTCAGACTAGAACAAATTTAAATAAATCAAACCAGACCCCCAAAATTTTGTCCAAGTAAAAACATCCTTAATGGTAAACTTTTATGAGTATATATCGTAAAAGTTTAGGTGTATTCAATGGTTTTATTCTTAAATATTACTAGCTCCGTTCCACTAACAATGGGACAAGAGGAGGCGGCATGATTATTAAGAAAAATGAGTTTATGTGATTGATATTGAATTGATAAAGTAAGAATAAAATAAGAATTATTTAGAGTCACACAAACTTTACCAAATTTAGTATGAGACAATCTTATTAGGATATCCCGTAAAAGGTAAAATGGAACAATCTTAACTTGATTTTAATTATTGTTAAGTTTGTTCTATTTGGATTGTTGTGTCCAGAAAATTAATTATGTTGTGTTTGTGATATATATTATGAGTACTCAATCATAAACATATTGTTTGATAAATACAAAAATGAACACCTTCTGAACACACCGTTAAACTTCTTATACTTTGTCCCGGATTGAAGTTTTACGGGAGAATTTAATTATTTAATTATATTATTTACACCACGGGGTTGGGTAATAGTATAGTTAATAATTAAGGTTGTCGTTGCACTTAAACAACTAGTCTCGTTTTGGCCATCATTGGGAAATGTTGACTAGTTACTTATTTTAGGTGACTTGTGTTGGGTCCTAAAATATCTATCTACAACTTCTCCACTGCTACAAATATGACATTTCACGTCACACGTATCACGTCGGTTATTCGAAAACCGTCTTTGTTACATATGACATTTCACATTTGTTATAATGTCAGTTATTAGGGATAACCGACGTAATAAGCTATATTAAAAATATCACCCGGAACTTTTATCCACGATCTTTTTGTTACCCGTCCTAATATTGTAGTGTTTTAGAGCGGTTTGTTTCTAACCGACGTATATTACAACAATACGGGAGGGTAATTAATAAAAAACACTTTATTTCATTCTCGCATTGAAGTCTGCAATCCAGACCTGTGCCGCTTTCGTGTTCGACATCACCGCCTTCGCCTCTCAGAAGCAAGACCTCACTGCCTTCGTCTCTCTGATGCAAGACATCACCGCCTTCGCATCTCTAAAACAAGAGATCACCGCGTTCGCCTCTCTGAAGCAAGACCTCACTGCCTTCGTCTCTCTAAAGCAAGACCTCACAGCCTTCATCTCTCGTACGTCTTCTATCTCGCCAAATTGATTCTCCGAATTGATTCGCCTCATAAACCCCATGATTCAATCGCGCTATACAGGTATGGTTCTTCACTCGCACTAGCCCAATCTTCTTAAAAGCATTGAAAAGTGCCATTAATCAAGGTTAAGGTTTTCGGGTTTTTCAAGGGTTATCAATTTGGGGTCGTTCGACTCTTTCTAGGCACCAGACATAACCGCCGGTAAAGAAATTCCGGTGAGTTCGCCCAGACAGCCTGGATTCATTCCCCATCTCGACCACTTCAGTCTCCATGTGCGAGGTTCTCTGTTTTTGCTGATATTTTGATTGAATTCATATCCATGTACTCAGTTGCTACATTTAGATTTCCTTTTCTTCCTGCTTTTATGTTTTTTAACCACAGATGCAATGAAAAAAACAAGCAACCGGTTAATTGTCTACCAATAGTTTAGTTATTTCTTTAAATCACACTATTCGATGAACTAAAACCGTCTAAAGCTCTATACTGTAAACGGAATTCGTTAAAATACCTTGTAGTTCTTTTTATGAACTACAAGGTTTTGTTGCCGCTTCTATCTTGCTGATTATCTCGTTGGTGGGGCGTTTTGATGTGAACCACGTTTCTCTTTTGATTTCCTGTGGCATTGTAGATCGCTAAACATGCAAAAATAGGCTGATATATTGATTGGAAAAATTAAGCACTCTGTTTCCAGAACCTATTTTAACCTGCTATGCACCTTTTGTGATATTTTGATTGAAATTTATGAAAAGTGGTACAACAGTTCAGAGGTTTAGCAAGCATTTGAAGTAGTATATTGTGTCTTCTAATCTTGGTTTTAAAAAGCGTGCCAAAGGCGTGAGATGCCTCTAGGCGATGACTTGATCGCATCCAAACATCCCAGGCGCAGCAGATTCCATAAGGCGCGCCTTTTACCTCGCCTAGTGCCGCCTTTTGCGCCTCTTTGAAGCGTCGCCTTTCACGCCTTATGGAATATGTCCGCTAAACTTCCTTCAAGCCTTTTGGCGATTCATCCCTCTCGATTTCCAGAATTTTCGTAGGGTAGTATATGTATGTAAGGTAAGGTTTTGGAATGTATTTGGTTAAATGTAGGATCAGAATGGAAGAGCAAGCATCCTTTCTTCAATGATTTTGGAATTCTCATATGCTAGGAGCATTCAAATTGGCATTTAGTGTAAATTTACATCATACATTCATTTGGACTTTTTGATCAATAATGATCAAGATATTTTCTTTATCCACTGCAGGAAGATTGAGTGAAATGGGCAGGTAGTTTTGACTCTTCATATTTCCACTAATTTGATTGCACATGCTTCTGAAATCATGATTGATCTACTTTCACTCATTCCAAGCCTTTGTAATCTAAAATATAAGTTCAAGATATAGCATATAGTAGTTTGGTTCAGTAATACCATGATAGGATTCAACTGAACCAGCGCCAGACTAGATATATAGTTGTAGCAAGAAAAGGAAAATGTTCTATTTGTATCAAGTGGATGTGTGAGGCTGCACTGTAAACTGCCTCAGTTTAAAATTTTTAGTGATTGTTGCCTCAAATTGTTTGCAAGTATTTCTTCGATGACACAAGTGTAGCTGAATTATAAAAGGCATATTTGATTTTAGTCTTCTAATTTTTGTACCGCCAACTAGTTTCTTTGTCTTTGATGTGACACTTTTTTGCTCTTCAGCTGAGTTTTCTTGTCTCTCTAAAGGAGTGCAATCCCTTGCAGTTTGTTTTTATTTATAATTGTTCTGGTTCATGTTTTGCAGGTGTACATTTGATGGGCTCTCGTATCCCGCTTCTAGGATATTAATTTCTTCGTTATCTTTCCAAGTTGATGGGAAAGGAGTATATATTATTTGAACGAAAATGATGCTTACTTTTATTTATTATTATGGGAAACGTAAAGTTATGTATGCATAAAAGTGACACCACTTACTGTGCCATCTACTTGTTCCAGGTTTGATGAATTCAAGTTGTTCTTTCGACTATTCATACATTCAGCTTTTCTCATATTCTTCTGATTATTGGACTTTCATTTCTTGTTGCCTACCAAAATCATTGAAGCACACCCATCAATTATTTTACACTGCCTTGTTACAAGTAAGCTTATCTCTGCAATTTGTTAAGAGGATATGAGTTCATTTCTCTAAAAAAGAAGCCTGCCATGAGTGTCTGGATGCATGCTGTAAATTTCTGTTATTTGTTTCAGGTATATTTAATGTATGGATCGGACTTGCTGTTGGAAAAATGTGTTAAAAATTGCATTAAATGGTCATTTTGGGGCAATTATTTGAGTGGGGTCCACTTCCGATTTGGGTCGGGTCAAAGTGGTTTCGGATTGTCCTTGTTAAGGGCTACAATTCGATATATGGTACGCTCAAAACGGAACAAAGTTGGAAGGTTCTTGTCCTTGTTAAGGGCTACAATTCGATATATGGTACACCCA